AAAATGAATAAATAAATATATGAATAATTAAATAATTAGAAAAGTAAGAGAGAAAGAGCGATGGCATGATGGAAATAGAAGTATCTCTTTATCTTGTTTTATTTTTTTAAATTATTTATAATGAATAGTTATAAGCTTCATTCGATTTTATATATCAATTTTGTTTGTTTTGATATATATAATCGATTTTTCGATCTCGTAAATATATTAATATATTTGTATATTTAAAAAATTTTTCTTCTTTTTTAGAAATAATAGAAATCTATATTGTCAATTGTTGATGTATATATATTTTTCGAATTAATCATTTGTTCGAACTCCTATATATTTTAAAGATTTATTTTTTATTTTGATATGATTAGAATCGATTTTTTAAATATTTCATTAATATGTTAATATATTTGTATATTTAAAAAAGAAGTTTCTTAGAAATCTACGTTATCAGTTATTGATATAGGTATATTTTTCGAATTATTAATCCTTTGTTCAAAATTGTATATTTTAAAAACTTTTTTTTGTTTTATAAAACATGCTTTATGTCAAATTATATAAATAATTGTTTATCACGATTAAATTTACATTTGTTCAGTCTAACTTATCTTCTATTTTCCTCATACGTATATAAGAGATCAAGTTTGGAAAGTGGTGCCCTCTGTTCCAAACAGTTTGGAATATTGTCAGCGGGCAGGCGCTGGACCGCCTTCTGAGGCTGCGTGTGGGATAAAGAGGACAAGACAGAGAAAGATCGCGATTCAAACTCGAAATCTAACGAGGAACTCTCAGAGCCACGCGAGTGGCCGCGCGATACAGCACGGGTGTTTGAAAACGGCCGATAACAGTGTGCATCGCGCCATGTGTACGGAGAAAAGTGCGAATTTGCAGTGGCTTCTTTATTCCATATTGCTCATTTGTGGATTTGTTCTATCATACGGTGAGTAAATGGATTATATTCGTAAAAATTTCAATCACTTTGGGGATTGTTATTAAAAAATTATACAATTGACTAGTAATAAAAAGAGTGATCTATAAGATGTTGATACAATTTACGGTGATTATGCATTACGTTTTAATTTATGAAAATAATGAATTTATATAATTGAATTTCGAGAATAAATATGGAATTTGAAACTGATATGAAGAAATATTCATTACATAGCTAATTTAAACAAAAAAATATTGTAGCTAATAATATTTAAATACAGATATAAATACAAATATTTGATACAGTTCATCAAAATGAAGTTTATATAATTAGGATTAATATGTTTCTATTAGTTTAAAAATAGAGTAAAAATATAAAATAAATATCTTTAATTACAAAATCTTGTACAAAATATTTCAATAAATTTTTGTTTACTTTTTTAATTCTTATATTTTATACTGGAATAAAACTTCGATTAGAGTAAAAATTATACTACACAACAAAAAATATATAACAATCATGCATCCAATAAGTATGTGATTTAATGTAATGAATAAGAATAGCGTTTGAAAGAATATATTATGAAGGAATATAATATATTTCATTCATTTCTTCACATTGATGCGATGCATTTATGTTTTCAAACAACGTTCTGTTTTCGAGAACTGGGCGATTTTGTTTTTGAAATCGTTATATCATTCAAATTTTTGCCATTCATTGAAAGAAATCTGAGTAACAGAGTATTATTCGAATGATCATTGAAAAAACTGTTAGTCGATTAACTGTGTATTTACATAAGATGTATCGATACCTTCATTTTTAATATCAGGTATTTGTTAAAAATAAAACTTTTTTATAGAACAGCAAGAAATAATAAAAAATTATTATTATATTCAGCTTTATATTTTATACTTCGAATATCTTATTTTTATTATAAATTTTTCGTGTTATGAATACGAATTGAATTTATTTTTTCTTACATAATATATTAATTAAAAAATTTTCAATACGTGTTATTATAAACTTATATATGATTAAATCTGATATTTAGTTTCAATTAATTGTAAATTGATTATTTTTTATTTTTCATATTAAGATTTTTTAATTGAACATTAAAAAAGTGGATATAGAAATATTCAAAATATAAATTTTTTTTTAATTCAATAAATAATATTAAAATGAAAGTATCGATATGTTTGATATATGGAAAAAAATTTGATTGATTATTTCAATAATTATGGAAGTGAAGCAACATTAATAATTCAATATATTGACTTGGGAGGGAGGGGTGGGTTTTTTAAATAGAATTCAATTCAATTGCTTACCTTTTAGAGTTAAACTTGGATTCTTCAAGAAATAATTAATGAGATAGAAAAAAAAAAAAATAATTAAATTATAATTCGATTTTTCGATAAGAAGAAATTATTTAGAGTTATATATAAATATTATATATATATAGGATAAGAATCATGACAACGTTTTATTAAAATATATCAACAAATAAATAAATAAGGAATCACGATGCATTAACATTCGGTTATTCATTCAGATAAATATTAATATTAAATATATATAAATCATTTTATTAAATTTTCAATTGATACAATTTTATATATAATTCGTAATTTTATTACTTAATATAATATCTATTAAAATAATGATCGCTTAAAAATGATTTAACTTTTTAAACTTTCTATTAATTAGGAGATATCTATATATTTTTGCATCGGTGACTATAGAATAAAATTTTCTTCTTTTTCTTTTCACCATCTTTTACTGTTGTAACAGAAATAAATCTTTAGCAATGCTAGAATGATTTTTTGACGAAGCGATGCATTTGTGTTAAAGAGAATGCGTTTCAAAAGAGATATTCACCGAGGTCGGAGCGTTTTATTACTTTAACCGTTTATTTTCCGCTCCTTTGCTTGTCAACGTCGTTTATGCCGTTGTGAGAAATCAAATTTGTGCAAAAGAATTTTGATATTCACCGGAAACTGGCTTACGTCGGATACTCATGATGTTTATTATTATTAGAACATTCTTTCGATATGTATCACGTTTGAATTTAGTTGAATTTAGATAGTGAGAAAATAGTTTCTCTAAAAGTACCGATGTAAATTAACGAAATTATTTTTTAAAAATGAAACAAATTATTTTAATTCTTTTAAATTTTAAATTATGTTACAATTATATGTTAGAATCGTATTGCGTATATTGCGTTAGAATCGTTAAAATTTTTATTTTAAATACGTACAGTTGATAGATAACAGATTCCAGGCATAAATATTTTCTAAAAATTTTTTAAGATGATTTTTTAAGAATGTATAATTTAGTATTCAATAATATAGGAATTAGTTATTTAGTTATTTTATCAGTTATTTTATTTTTAACATCTAATTATAACAAGAAATTTGCCTTTGAAAACACAACGACTTTTGAATTTTTCAATATCAGTTTATAATTCTTTAGAAAGAAGTAGTAATACTACGATAAATTCCTCATTTTAAACATATTAAATTCATACCAGTAATTTTTAATATAGAAAATAATGTTACAAAGTACAATCAGAATTTGAGGAGTTAGGATAAATCCAATATTAAATTATTAAATTCTAAATCTCGTCGGTATATGATTTTAGATTTTAGAAAAAAGGCTTAATGATAAATTTCATAATACATTTCGCAACAAAGGAAATTAAAAATGGTGTCAATTCAAAATTTTTGTTTTATAAATTTATAAATAATATTTTATATCACAATGTTAAACGTTTATTTCTTAGATCGATGAGTCTAAATTCCAACGAACCTATCGTCGTAAAATTCTTATAACTTATTTAGAATTTACAATTTAGTTATCTAGAATTATCCTTTATTTCGATAATTTCGAATCATAAAAATAATGCAAAGTTTCGAGAACTCGGTATTTCCAAGTTTCGAAATATGTCGAATTTTCCAATATCCCACGAAGTACAACATCGTCATAAGGAGTACAATCGTGCATAAATCACCGACGAACGAAAAGATTTCGTGGAATCTCGGCGCGACGCGTAAATTCTGGGATCGCGTGCGCGTTATAGAACGATCGAGACGGACTGCTCAATCGCAGCTACATGCGTATATAACCTCCCCCGTTGAAATGTCGCAAATTGTACGGCAATCATCTTGTCAAGCTGTTCAACCGTTCGCACGCGCGCTCGTCTAATATGAATTCCTTGGAGGCTCGGATGACCTTCTCTTCTCTACTCGGCCCTGCCAGATGCAACAACAATGACTCCCTTTGGTATATTACGTACTCTGATACGTGGCGACCGACCAATGAAATTCCCTGTAAAATGTACTCGGGAGAATATTTTATCGGTCTCTGGACGCCGCGAAATACGCTGGAACCAAGTTATTTTATGCAGTTTCGCCATGCATTCGCGCCATTTCTGGGCCACCTTCTTTGGAAAATATCGCCTGTGGTTGTAAACGCCTTGTGTCGGGACAAGAATTTCACCCAAGGAATCTAATCGAAGGGACACGTTATCTCTTCGTACCATGAAAATCCTCCCTATCACCGTTTTCGCTTACGATCGTGGATAATCGTGTTTTAAGGATCGTTTCGTTGGATCCTTTTCACGAAAATCGGGAGATACGGGTTTCGTCTTTTAAGGGAGGGAAATTGTTCGGGTAATTGAGAGGAATAATTTTGAATTTCGAATATTATTCATATTGATATTATATTGGAGATTTGGTTTGTATGGATATGGGTAGCATTGAATTGGGATAAAATTTAATAGGAATTTAGGAAAAATAATTTGGTTAAAATTAGGGATGTGACATTTGAAACTTTGAAATTTCGAAAGTCTTAGGGGAGTCTTAAAGAGACTTGAAATATTTTAATATCTGTTAAAACGTAGAAAGATAGAAACGTAAAATGGTAGATAGAATATTTTAATTGAAAACGTTATGAACGAATATGGATAACTATTACTAATGTTATCAATAATTCGCGATATAATTATTAGAAAAACGGTATAATTTTTAATATATAAATAGCATACGTAATACTTATAATCTTTCTATGATCTCATATCTTTTCTTGTCACTTTGATGTAAATTTGATGTGAATATTTTATAGATTAATGTGATTTACGCGATATCATATAATTATTAAATATATTGAAATAGAAATATGATATAATGCAATTGAATATATTAAAAAAATTCATACGATTTAATAATAAAAAAGATATGAGATTAAATTATACATATATATATTTTATATATATTATATATATATAATTATATATTTTACATATATTTTATATTTATTATATATATATATATTCTTGTATTATTTTTTTTAAAGTATATAATTATAATTATGAGAAAATATATATAATTATAATTATATTATTTAAAAATCTGTAGAATACATATGATACATTGAATACATATAAAGAGATGTAAATATTCAAAGTAAATCTCATATTATGATATTTGAAGAGTGAATGAAATAGATCTTTATTCCAGTTTCATTTCCATTTTAATCGTGTTCATAAAAATTTAAATTTGCATAAATATTTGCAATCTGTTTATTTTATGCGTTTATTTCAATCGTATTATTTGCTTTTATATTCCGTTTCTATAAAAATTATAAATTGACATTCCTTTCGGAGTTTCCAAATATTTTCCTACCCTTATTCGAACGAGCGTGACAATTAGCGCAGTTTTCAACAGCAAATGTCAAACATTTCAATGATGGTGGTTGTTGATTTGCTTTCCTCTCTGTAATTAGCCGATCGATAATTGTCTCTTTTAATTCTCTCTTTTTCGAAAGCCAATGTTTATGATAATGTCTTTTACCGTCAGTTTACAGAACGATGCAAATTTTCTACTTGACCATTGATAAAACGATGACGATAGAGGAATCCCGACATATTTTTCTCGATAAATTTATAGAAATAAAAGCGTGCGAGAATTTCGATTTTCGATTACAATGCATATTCTTTTCCAAAGGGTCTCTAA